ATGGATGATCGTAGTAAAGATATCGGAGAAGCCATATAGTTGCGAGATGGCGTCGCAGACTCGCGTTGGGGTGTCATGTCGGTAATTGAAAACAATGGAAGCGAGGCGGAAGGGCGAGCGAGGAGAGATTGCAATCTTACGTCATTTGTCAGTGTCACCGGGACGCGCCGCGCACCTACGTAACCGCGCTGACCTGCCCAAATTACAATCTAATACAAAACGGACGCGTTCTGAGATAAAAAAAAATCTAATCTAGTCCGGAAATAAATGAACTTAATTATTTAATCTAAAATTACTGTTCAAAATAATGTAATCCTAAAACTTTTAGTAGTTAAGTAAAGTTTGATAGTGTGACTTAATTTATTTCGGTCGATTTAATTACCTTGCTTTATCTTTAGCTGAGTTATAAAGTTTAGACATAAATTAATCTCGACTTTTACTTAAACGAATCAGACCCTTAAATTTGACAGTTTATTGGAGAATGACGAGCCATGTAACCGTTTAAGATCAATTATTGTTAATTTATAAACGATGATCTAATTTATTCTGATAAATAAATCTATAGAAATATATATAAGAAGCTAGATTATTCAGCACCGTGTGAAGACAAATTCTATTCATCTTCACTTGGGGTCATTTAGGAGCATTTTTCTAAGAGTCCTCGAGGGATTTCTAAGAAGGGGCCGAGGCATCCACGTCTCATTACAATAAATCGCGAGTTGGCCGCCACCGCACAGGGCGGTTGCGCCAAGAATTCTGTTTTAGCCAAACGCTCACAAATTCACATCTATAACCTTTTGTATTATTTTCGTTTTCACGCCTTTTTATCCCTCGGATTCCTTGACGCGAATATAATTCCTTATCGCGGCATTCCTTTAAAGGAGTGAAAAAAGAACGAATCGAATCGACTGTTCTTGTTTTCTGCTTAAGTAACATACCTGTGTCGTTTTTATTTGCCCAAATAATATCGCTACTAAATCGGAGCGTCATTCTTTAATAATTTATATCCAGCTTACCTCGTTCATTATTCTTTGCTTATTTGGAATATTTATAAAGGAAAATAATTAATTTAAAAAAATAATTCTTTAAACTGTCTGTTAAAAAATCATAATTGGTATGAGATTTAAAAAAAAATAAAAAGAAATAAATGTGATACAATTACCCGCCTAACAAGAGAACAAGTAATTTTATTGTTATTCGGGGCACACCTATTCCTAATTCTGTTGTTCACTATATCTAATTTGAATAATACGGAGCCAGAATTGTCGGTAAGACAAAAAACTTTAATTTATGAATGCACAATGAGTATTGTTCACGGAGTGGCTAAAGTGAGGAGAGTAGAGGCGGCGCGGCAGCGCTTGGTCCTTCGAGCCAGATAACGCTCGGCGAACGTGCGTGGGCGCGATCTCAATGGAGCCTCTTCATTCACAACACTACCTTGGCATTAAAGCCGCTTTACTTTTTTCAACAGCCTAATCTTTTCTCTTATCTGTTGATCCTCGGGTCCTTCCCTGTTTCATTCAGTCGCAAGTTACCCGGCTAACCTGTTCGACTTCTTTTTTCATTGACGCCGTACAAAGCTAAGATGACCGCGGGCGAGGTCGAATTTTTATTTCTTTCACATTTCGGTTTTCCGGTCCGAGCGATTCGTTAATAAATTCTCAGATAATGAGACTGAACGTTTCGTCACCTCATCTCGATTGGCTTGGATTTTTTTCTTTTTCGGCCGTTATGTGTGAACGCCGCGGAGGGCTGACCGGCGACGGCGAGATAGAATCGGAACAGCTATCGATTCGGACCGTCTTTTTTTCGATAATTTAAATACCGCTATTCTTTATAGAGGAGACCTTTATCTTAAAATACGCTGCCTTCGTAAATAGACAGGATATTGTGGATTCGTTTAATGTTTTTGTGTTGAAAAATCATGTTTTTTTCTGTTGTTTCAGGTAAAGCACGTGCAAACTGGGTCGCCGCTTTGCCCACCAACCCTTAGGGACTATCGAATTTTCATTGTGGCAAAAGTGTTTGTTTCCTTTATAAGATCTATTTTTGTTTTCGAGATATGTTTGTCAAATTCTCTATCGCGAAGTTAATAAAAACATTTGTAAAGTTTAATTTCTATTAATGATTTTGATAGACATATTTTGACATAGTTTTACTTTCTGTATTATAAAAATATTTCGTTAAATTGTACTTAAATTGTGTTAATTGTGGTTCGAACATCGACAGTTGTAATTAGTACTTAAAAATCATTGTACGAAATCAACGTTGCTCAGTATTTTTATAGATTTAAGAATATTACGGAGTTATTATCCAAATTATATAAAAAAAATAAGTACACGGAATGCGCAATTAAAAATAAGTGGAAACGAAATTAGTTATTGGATTTAGTAAATTATAGTAAATATTATATTCCGCAAAGGATTTTTTTAAGTTAAGTTAATATTCTATGATTTCATTTAGTTTCGTTCTTCCAACTTTGTTTTGTTAGTAAAGTTTATCGGCACACTACTCAATAGTTAACGAGTATGTTCGTTTTGATAGTAGTTAGTGTACGTTATAGACGTAGGCAAAGAATCACTAAGTTTTACACACTACACACAAGTAGAAAGTTTTATATTATAATCATGAGTCACACCAGCCATGTGTTTATTTTTGACCGACTTCCCAAAAGAAGGAGGTAATCAATTCGTCTGTATGTTTTTTTTTGTTAATATCTAATTCGATGAAACGAATAATTATTGTCGATTCCTAAATATTATTGTTGTCCCTGTACATATAATAAAAAGTTTTGTAGATTTTCTATTTTTAGTTTCACAAAATGTGTACAAAGTAATAACTATTTTTTTTTTTGCAATTTCAAAGTTGTTTAAAGAATATCGGAAAATATTATAAATATTGTTTTTAAAAGTATTATTAGAATACCTGTAAATAAAATATATTCTCGATAATACATTATTTTCAAATCTTACGCAATCCGTTTTAATTGTAATACGAATTAAAAATCTAAATATAGCAATATTGTAGCCGTGAAAGGTGTATTTTGAAAATGCAATTCAAATTTATATTTAAACGTGGTCATAATCTTTCCAATGAGAACTGCTTAGTGTAATTTGGTTGATTTTTTTTAAACAAAATTGTCACTGCGACTCACATACATGGATTGTGGGTAACACTTGTTTCCTCGAAGCAAACCTGTTTAACATCGGAACAAGATGAGAATTTGACCCTCCTAAGACCTTTCGGGTTCTAACAGGTAGTGTTAACAGTTTGAAATTGTCAAATCGCCACATAAATTTCACAGATGCTTGTTTTATTTAAACAAAAGATGCACATATGTACATCATTTGATAATAGATTTTTTAAGATAATTTATTTATCATAATAATTAAGGTATCTTCGTAGCAATAAATATCTGGTTTTACACTGTAGGGTTGCATTTTGTTTAGTTTTTTATCCCATTGCAATTGTAGACCGCTATACAAGTTCATATGATGTTATAAAGCAATATATCAGAGGCTGGTCATTAACATTATGAATAACCGCTCGTTTAAATGTGACCAAATCGAATACATTCGCTTAATAATAAATGTTCTATATAGAATATGTAACTTAATAATTATGAGTAAAATTATGTAACGATTGTAATTAAATCTTTATTTCAATGTAATTTATTTTATTTCAACCCCCTATTCCTGAACATTTATTATACCTATTTGTTTATTTCTGTACCATATTAAAAAAAAACAACATTCGTAAACTTAATAAAACACAACCATTATAAAATAAATTGAATTACGAAATGAATGTAGAGAAAGTCGATAATGATTCGGTAAAACGGGAATATTCAAAGAGGGTGCCACCCTTCAGCTCTTAACTCTTAAACAATGCTTAAAGGCTAATAAAAGAACCACTTTTTTCTACTTTTAAGAGCTACGTTAGATACCCCGCATACGGAAAGTCGTTATTTAAATTAATTAAAACGTAAGGTTTAAGTAATGGTGTTGTTGAAATATCTTGAAGAGAAACAGACATTTTAAAACTGAATCTAAGCGAATAAGAGACGTTGCTACTGTAACAAAAGATACACATTTAGATAAAATCAATCGTTAACCGACCTTCGAAACTTAAGAATATAATAGACAGTAAATCAACAAATCATCTTCATATCTTCGGTCATTATCAAGTAATTATCAACTTTCCTCATGATATAAGAACTTACTGGTTTTATTATACTATGATGAAGATTTTATTTTCTTGTTTACATTTGTCAATCTATCAACAGCAAATGTCAAAATGACATGACATGACAAACCTTAGCAATCTTTCTTTCTTGATGTTGGCAGCAACTTATGGTCTCTTTCCCACATTAGGTTTTTTATGCAAAATATTTACCCCCTAAGTTTAATGGCGTGAAAATCTATAGCATAAAGCATGACGTAAGTGTAGGGCTTTTTATTAAAAAAAGAATCATTCAAAAATATGCTGTAATTGCTGACATCTTAGGCAACAAAGAAGTGTGTGTTTACGCTTTATTATAATAGTGTAGATTAAATATGTATCTACATAATAGTCAAAAACTAATATATGAAAGATTAATAGATGTTTTTATTCAAAATGATCAGAGGTTAATTATATTCTTATTGTAATAAATCGCTACATCAGTCATTTATAAATGGATCTCGTAACGTTAACTGATATATTAATGTTTGATAGAATCATTGAAGAAAATAACAAAATAATTATCACGAAAATGTTATTAAGGGGTACATTTCTTTTTAATTATAACAAACTTTACAAAGAACCCTTTATTTAGTTACCATAAATATGGGCAACAACATTTTTTGGACAATATAGAATTGTAAAAACAAGTGTAAGAATTAAATAACATTACGTTATTACAAATCTTTACAATATATAAATAATTAGATCAAGTAAACTCCTAATAAAATGTAACTTTTAATTTGTATGAAAATAAAGTTATAAAATAATTGTATCGTTAAGAACATTCTGAGAGCGGAAACGATGGAACCTAATAAAAAAATAACAATCCACGATGACAAACAAAAGTACGGCTTTACTTAATCAAATCCGTCACTATAGCAATTGAATGCGTAATAAAACCGCTAGTACACATAAAACAGCAATAAACATTGACAATACAAATAGAGGCTAATAACCCGAAACCAATCAAACGAGCCGGCCGCGCGGGACCAATGCTCGGATACATTTTATAGTTATGTGCCCACCTTTATACAGATTAGAGCTTGCAGATGATTGCTGCAATAAAATTGTTTGCCAGAGTCATGGCTTTTAATTAGTTGACACTGTACAATAAAGTTCATAAGTTTACGGCCTCATATACGACCTAGTACTTGGATGTGGACAAATTAACTTCGCATTTGCAGAGATTTTGGTAAGTCATGACAACAAGAACTCGTTAAGTACCATTGTTAATGCACACTAAAACTGTTGCTGTCAAAAGAAAATAAAAAAAAATACCTTAGATTAGTCAAAACAGATAACTGTTAAAACGTGCTTCTTGTAGTTATAATTTTAAATTAACAATATAAAGCTCTTAATAAAACTAGAATTAAGAAGTAAGACACGAGAGAACCTAAAGGTTAGGTCTAGCTTTACACGTTTTCAACGTTTAACGACAGATGGCGCACCTAGTACTGTTTTAACTTGATGTCGTAAATGTTTTATTAAGAATACAATAACTTAACAATATCACAAATCATTTAAGAATTAACTTAATTAAGAAAAGATATATTAAAATTATGTAAAGTTACTTTACGAAAAGTTACCAAAAGAATGATAGCAAAAAATGTATTACTTTTAAGATTAAAACATAGTTTATAATATTCGCATGGAGTATGTAAAGACAAATAAAATTTTAAAATCCAACCAATAAAGAAAAATATAAAGGTAGATTGTCCGTACTTATTCTATGGTCATTATAAGCTGTAAGGATTAAAACCACTTATACTATTAATAAAAAGTCAGTAATTAAATATTATTACTAATATTATAAACGCGAACGTTTTAATAGATGGATGTTTGTTGCGTATTTTCAGAACGGCTAATCAGATATCGCTATAATTTGACGGAGAATACATTCTGAGAGAACACATATGCTAATTACTAAGTTTTCTTCTAATTCTATGTGGATGAAAACGAAAAAGCTAGTTTACTAAATAAACTAAAGGTCTTGGAGATTTAAGTAATGTAATATCTTTCGCCCTCGACTCCGTCCCCGTTGAATTTAAAAAATCAAAAGTGAGCAGCCTATGTGTTCTTCTGGACTATCTTCTACATTTGTAGCAAATTTCATCAGAATCCGTTTAGCCGTTTATGCTACAAACTCTAACAAACATCCATCCATCTATCCATCCATCCGTCTAAACTTTCGCATTTATAATATTAGTAAGAAGTAAGATGTACGGACACATTGTCAAATGTCATAAAAATGATGTAATTTCAATATCATGTGACTGTAATCTATGTATTTTTTATACTAATTGAAAAGATAACTATGTGGTTTGAAATAAAAGTATTAAACTACAATTTAATATCGGCCGTCACAAATAATTTACGATGTAACAAGTTATAAGCGCTTAAGTACAAAGGTGCGAGCAACTAAGTCAAGCCCACCTGCTCCGGCCAAGGTGTCGAACCTAATCACTTCAGATTTCTGCGCAACCGGCCAAATTTATTCATACCTTCCCTCACATTTATCACCGCCGGCCTATCTCAGTAGTTTTTCGCATATATGAAAACACTAGTGCTTGCTCCCCTTACTTCACTTACTATTTTTTTTATGTTTTTATAATTATTATTACTATAAACTTTAATTAGCTTTTTCAATTTAGATATTTTTAGTAGTTATTCTATGATTATTGTTAACAAAAATAAATTGACGAACGTTTTTCATTAATAATTAAGTATATAATTCCAAAAATTAATTAAAACGTTCCTTATTCGTTAAGTGATAAAAATACTATAAAGATGAGTGTTTTATAAAACCATAAATACAGATGTACAGACAGGATTTATTGACAATACCATAGAGAATTTGCCAGCGAAATTCTATCACGCCTCGGAGGGTGAGCCGTTAGAATTTCGTGCACCTTGCCGAAACGAATAAATCAAACTATTGCGTAATGCTGCCGCTATATGCATAGAGATCACCGGGGCCTTCGAATTTATTTATTATCTGTTTCGTATAAAACAGATTTCGAGCGATTTACGAGATACGAAGCGGCCGCCGGCCATATTTATCTTGATTCAAAAGCATTCCACGCGTGTTAGATTTTTAAACGGACATTTTTAACAAACCGCATATTAAAATTAGGCATTAACGACTTTTAGAACAGTCCGTTTTACTTATTTGTTGTTAATTAGGAATATTTTATAACGTTTGTTAAGAAATACGTCGAAAATATATCACTGTTAAAATATTTACAAACGAATAACATTTTTCGCATATTGTTTTCGTGATAAAATACTACTTCTTTAAATTTATTTCCAAGAGTTGTGTTAATGAATTGTAAATAATTTGTAGTGCTCTTAGAGCGTGCGCACACCTGAAACCAAACTATCGCACAACTGTTTAGTCTCGCTTTGATTCCTATGAGCTTATATAGCGGTGCGCACACTCGATTAGTTGTGCAACTAAACAGTTGAATTGGCTGCAAAACAATTGACAATAGACAACCGAACAACTGGTGTGCGATTGTTAAGTCAAAATTGTTCACTTGCTCTTGTAGTAATTGATAACTCATTATCTAGTTCGTGATTAAATAACAAATCTAGCTATAGTAAATAATGTCAATAATGCTGGAAGTTATGATTTTTGCTTTAAAGTTAATTTCCAAGTTATATAACATACCATAAAGATTTGTCCCATTATTATTTGTAATGGAATCAAATATAGAACTTGTGAATACTTGCACGCCGTCGACGACACGGGCCGTGCAAATCAATGAGAAATTCCAACACGGCCACGGCTTTAGGATTACGTCGGAGTTTGAACTTCTCTAAATGAATTCTTCGTTTGAAGCCGTGATTGCTTTCCGATATCGGAGTTTTCAACTCGAAAAGCATTTAGTATGGTGCCGTTCGCTCACTGAATTAATTGTTTGAAGTTCATATATGTGCAATGATTTTATTTAGTCTAAGTATACCATTTACAGGTTTAATAATAGTTTAACACCTTAAGTAGTTTACAAAATATACATTTCAACAGTGGTAGAGACTGTTTTAACGTTTTCGCACGAATCAGCCGGTTTGCCCGATGCAATACCACGATCACACAAAAGACAAGCGTGAAGTGGGAGCAATTCCGTGTCCGATGAATGTGGTGCGGGAGCCCTAATTTTAGTCCCTTTTCCTTTGCACCTTTTTCTTAAGAAGAAAGGATGGGAATAAAAGAGGATTTGACGACGGAGGAGACGCATAGAAAGGAGAAATGTCCCGTTTATGTGCGTCTCCTCTTCCGTCGATTAAGGGTAGGCAACTCATATGCAGTTGCGAATGTCTATGGGTAGTAGTCGCTTCGCCATTTCGACAGATTCAGGTGGTCGCTTGCTCGTTGGCCACCTCATAAAAATTAATAGTCTGGAACAACATATA